TAACACAATAAATTATCACCGCTTGTTCAGGCTGTTGAATCCCTGCAGAAAGCGTTTGATACCAGCTAACATTTCAGCTGAAACTTGACCTTAATGCTAACAAGACAAAGTTATGTTGTTTTTCAATGCCAAAAAAAAGCCTATTTCGATAGGCTCAGACTAGAAATAAGTTGTGCTTTTCTTTTAATGTGAAAAATGTATTAATTAATTAATTAATTAATTAATTACAGTGACTACTATAAATAAAACTGTCTAAAACCAAAAATAGACTAAATGCTGACTGATGGGAGCTGATCACATTAGCTAAATGAACCATAAAATCCAAACACTTGCTAAAAGACTAGCTAGAAGCTAAAAGTAGCARGCAGAACAGTCCAAAAGTAGCTCAAAGCTAAACAGCAGCTAAAAGAAGCATAAAGTAGAACTCGGATTAGTGTCTTTATTTTTGGGCTTGTTTTCAGGGTGAGTCTCCGTACAACAGGTCGACGTATCGGTACACTCCTCTGCTGGCCTGGCTGCTCACACCAAACATTTACTTCAGCTTGGTGTTTGGTAAGATGCTCTTCATCGTGTGTGACGTTCTCTCTGGGGTCCTCATCTATAAGCTGCTCTGCTTCAGAGGCCTGAGCTGCAGGGTGAGTCTCCTTCATCTGAGTTTATATCTGGTCCGTTTGAGTTTTGTTCAGATAAAATAAGCCTTCTGTTTGTTTCTCTGCTCAGTCTGCAGCTCAGCTCTGTTCTCTGTGGCTCCTCAACCCTCTCCCTATGGGCGTGTCGAGTCGAGGGAACGCAGAGTCCATCCTGGCGGTTCTGGTTCTCGGGACGCTGCTCTGTAAGGAAGGTGAGGCTTTCAGCTGTTTTTAGCTGATTCTAACCACCACCTATTAAACTCATTAGTTTCCTCCCAGCTGGTCATCTGCTRTGGTCGGCTGTGCTCTACGGCCTCTCTGTTCACATGAAGATCTACCCCGTCACCTTCGGCCTGCCCATCGCTCTGACCCTCAGGTCCTCACAGGAGGGCAGAGGGGGCCGAACCTGCGTCGCCTTTATCAGAAGCTTCTTCAACCGTGAGCTGCTGGTGTTTGCAGGCGTGGCTGGAGGAGTGTTTGTTCTGCTCACAGCACTCTTTTATTACATGTGAGACTGATGCACACACAAATACACAACACATAGAAGAGGTGTGAGGTTAAACCAGACTAACTCCGCCCCCTCTGATGTSATCCAGGTATGGCTGGGAGTTTCTTCATGAGACGTATTTGTACCATCTGACCCGACGGGACATCAGACACAACTTCTCCCCGTACTTCTACATGCTCTACCTGACYGCAGGTGTGTAACACTCTGAGCTTCAACAGATCATTTTTGTCCTTTTAATTTCAGTTATGAGTATAAATCCCTGTGTTTTGATAAATCTCAGTATTATTATTTGTTTTTATTTTCAGACAGCAGGTGGAGCTTCACGCTGGGCCTGGCAGCCTTCCTGCCTCAGCTGGTCCTGCTCTTGGTGGCGTCCTGGGCCTTCCACCCTGACCTGGCCTTCACCTGTTTCCTCAACACGGCCATCTTCGTCTCCTTCAACAAAGTCTGCACCTCACAGGTACGTCAGCGTTGACTCTGACGACAGTTTAGAGGTGAAAGGATTAAAAAAATAAAATTCCTGTTTTAACTTCTCGGTTTGGAGAAACAAGTTTTTATTTTTTCAGTTTTATGTAAGAATGAGGTGATTAGAGATGTAAAAACCTGAATAAATTTAGTATAAAACACTTTATTAACAGTGTTTTTTCTTGTTTTACTTTGACAGTACTTCCTGTGGTACCTCTGCTTACTTCCTCTGGTCATCCCAAACCTGAGCCTGACGGTGAAACAGGGTGTGGGTCTGCTGCTCCTCTGGTTTGTTGCTCAGGTGAGTCCACTGGGTCGGGTCATGTCTGTTGGAACTCTCATCATGTTGCCCTCATACCTGTAAAATTAATAATAATAATAATAATAATAATAAT